ATAAATACATTTGGGGTTATAAATTATAAATGTACTGCCTCCTGTCAACATTGTATACTTCTATTTGATGATTTCTGTGTCAAACATTATATGGAAATGTTTCCAAGCACTTTCTGTATTAACTGTGAATGAACAGAACAAAATAAATTGCCTGTGATGGAAAAAAAAATCAGTTAATGGTAAAAATTAACAACTGGCATGCAGATCCCAGCTTGCAATTTATATGTGCATATTTAAGAGGAAGTGTGTGGAGAGGTCAGTAAATTAAAAAAAGGGCCTTGAGAGGCTTAAAAATAAAACAGAGTATAAGGGAGGTATGGGTAGTGTAATACATGGTGTAAAAAATGTCAATATTGGACGTTGAAGGTTTGAACTGGGGTGAGGAGCAGAGAGGAAGAGCACCGAAGATGTGAAAGGGCTAATTAAGACTAGATGTGTTTGAAAACTGATAAAGAAATCTGATAATTTGTAAGGTAATTAAAAAGCAAAATAATAATAATAAAATATTTTAAGTGTTGCTACACACACACACACACAAAAAAAACCCACTTTGTTCTGGCACCTGTTTACACTCCAAGTGCTTGGCTGCCTCAAGAAACAGGTTTGTGAGTTGAAAGCCAATTGGAGCTACTAAACATGACTCTGCCTCAAACAAACAAACAAACAAACAAACAAACAAACAAACAAACTCTAAAGATGAAATGATCAGCAACAAAAGGCAAACAAGCAAATCAACACTTTGCATATTTCATTTTAATTTTTCTATAAAACACAGGGACTCTGCAATCAAACTGATTTGTAGTTAACTCACTATGGTGACAAATATAATGAATAATTTTAGACTGTTTTCCTTCATACTTTCTCACATGTAAAGTGAGAAATTACAGCTGTGTCTTTAAATGAAAGCTGTTGCTAGAATTTTATATTACTGTAAACTATTTAAAAGTTCTTGAATTATTGTAAAGTCTCAATAAATGTGGTGATACTTTTTTGTGCTCTAACAAGTAAAGTTGTCTGGAGATCAGAGTGTGGAGCTAGCAACTAGTTAACCAAAGATGTCAGGCAGTGGTGACACACACCTTTAATCCTAGCACTGGGATCTCATGCCTTTGATCCTAGTACTTGGGAGTCACATGCCTTTAATCCCAGTACTAGGCAGGTAGAAACAAGAAGTGATATGGCTGGGTGGAGAGAGGAATATAAGGAGGGAGAAGAAGGAGATTGGCCCTCTCAGACTGAGGAGTTGGCAAGGTAAGTGGTGGCTGTGGCTTGCTCCTTTGTCTCTCTGATCATTCAGCATTTACCCCAATATCTGGCTCCAGGTTTTTACTATGATCAATTAGGATTTATACCACAAATAAATATTACCAGATTACAGAGTTGAATGGATCAAAAGAACAAAATCACTGAAGAAGAAAAATTAAATTTCTGCAAAGATATAAAATTAAATTAATTATTTTAATCCCCCTGCTAATGTGTGGTATGTTATGATAAATCTAAATTTTACTCAATCCATGTTTTCTTAGATTTTAAAGAGGATAAAATATCATACCAGGTTATAAACTGGCATCTATCTGAAGATAAGCAAAAGGAAATTGATAATAGAAGACAACTCATTGTAGAAGAATTAGTTCATAACAGGTAATTTGTTTCAATTCTTGGAACTAAAGTGTTGCTAATCAAGTCTTACAAATGGGGAGATGATGGTCACATGATGCTGTGAGTGAATTTAAGAGAAATGATGACTGGAGCACTGGTGGATGTGGGGATGGATTGTGTTTGGGTGGTGCACGGTGGATGACTGACAGCTCCATAAATGATGGGACAGTCTCTAGAAAGTGGAAGATGTGCTGTGGGATGTTCTGTATGCTCTGAATGTGTTGCTCTGATTGGTTAATAAATAAAGTGCTGATTGGCAAGTAGCCATGCAGGAAGTATAGGCAGGACAAAGAGAGAAGAGAAGTCTGGGAAGTAGAAGGCTGAGGCAAGGAGATGCTGTCAGCTGCTGTGATGAGAAGCATGATGTAAGATACTAGTAAGCCATGAGCCCTGTGGCAATGTATAGATTTTAATTTAAGATATAAGAACAGATAGCAAGAAGCCTGCCAATGGCAATACAGTTTATAAATAATATAAGCATCTATGTGTTTATTTGAGTCTGAATAGCTGCTGGCCCTGGACGGGACTGGAGATAACTCCAGCTACAAATGGCGCCAGAACATACAGCAAGAATTTCCACCTAAAACCTGAAAAAGAAGATTCTAAAATGGAGCTAAAAACAGCTTCCTAGTTGTCTCTCTGAAGTTATCCACAGCCTGCGCTTGAGCTAGTATGTATTGGGCCCCTGGCATGATGCTTGACCTTAAATATGGTGGGAATGAGGCATCTGCAAGTGGCACATGATGCTGCATGGTGGATTGTCTTCTCTAGTAAAAACAAAGGGCAGAGGGTCCTGGGCTACACACTGCTTTGATAGAGACATAGACCCACTCTCTCCGGAGTGAGCATGGTTCCTCCAAATCTGGGTGTAAATGTACCATCTCCATGTTGGGAAGCTGCGGTGGGTGGAGCCACCAGTCCAAGCTGCCTCTTTAGACCTAGTAATGCTGCAGTTTAAAGCAATAGTTACACAATAAGACAGAATCTGATGGAACAAGACTTTAAATGGTTTATAATGCACGTAGAAATGTATGTAGGCTTGGGAAAGAAAAAAAACGTAATATATACAGGTATATAAAGAAAGTGATAGTTTTAAAAAATAAAGTCTTTAAAGAGACAGTAAAGGTAATATAAACAATAAGCCACATAAGCACTGATACTACACAGAGAATCTGGATTGTTTTGTCTTTGATATTCTAAACTGCAGAAAGACATTTGATTGTAAAGGGTGCTCAATTAAACCAGTATGTATATTTTAAAGTTACCTTGACTTCAAAATTTGGGTATAAGGATATGTCGCTTTGGAAAGGAGGCTCTGCTTTTGTTTCCACAGAAAGAAAGAGGCTATAGATTTGTTGCAGATTAAGATACATCAGGTTTGACCAGGCAAGACCCCCTGAAAGGTCTCCTTTGACACCATGGCCCAGATGATCAAACATCCAGAATGGTTTCAAGGCAACTGGCTCAGACAATACAGCCTCAAAGACTACCCCATAATTCTAATATTTTCTTTATGCCCCAATAAGAATACAGCGTCGTCATCCAGCAGGAAGTAGTATTAGAAGCTACGCCCAAATTCTCAAATATACCAAGCTGGCTTTGGAGATGGAATTGGCTCATTCCTTCTCTAAACCCAAGCAAATTGCCTCCCCTTAAAAAAAGGTTGAGCGGTTTTTCTGTCCCATATCAGAAGAGCCCTCTGGTGTGGGACAGAGAAAAACCAATATTTTTATTTAAAGCAAGTTGATTATAAATGTGATCTTTTCCTATAGAAGAAAAGGGGATGTGATATATATATATATATATATATATATATATATATATATATATATATGATGGGATGACCATTGCTGCCATTCTCCACTCTCCTGGGGGAGTTTCTCAGCAGAGCTGTCGATTCATTTTCTGTTCTGCTTTATTAGAGTTTCTAATAAAGCATCTCTAACAGAGATGTCTGTTTCTTCTCAGCTACAGCTCAATTTGTTACGTCTGTGCTTCACTCAAGTAAGGGGTGAAATGCTGGAGAAATGCTGGAGAAATTTAGCAGTCTCTGGTGAAAAGTTGTTACTCCAGCTCTGATCTTTTAAGGGAGTTTACCAACAGAAGGGTCTGTTGCTTCTCTAAGTCCAATACTACAGTCAGATTCTCATCTACTCCAGTGAAAAGTCTTCACCCAAAATGCATTATATATATATATATATATATATATATATATATATATATATATATATATTTGATAGCAAGGAATCTTAGAGAGTTCCAGAATTTCCAAGGGAGAAAAAGGCACCTGCCAAATGAATAGGCACAGGGCTTCAGAAAGCTCAAACAATGGGTGGATTTCTTGCTCAGGAATTGGTTGTTTTCAGGGTCAGGGAATGGTTGGATTTGTACTTATTTTGTCAAGGTTAGAGTGTATTTGTTTGGCTCTGGTTATAGGTCCAAAGTGTCTGTGTGTGTGTGTGTGTGTGTGTGTGTGTGTGTGTGTGTGTGTGTGTGTGTTTACTGGCCGCTTTTAAAATTTTGATTCTGGTTTCAGGATCAGGGTGTTTCTGTAACTGGTGCTAGATTCAGGAAGAAAGTCTGTTTCTTTGACTCTGGTTTCAATGTCAGAATGTTTTTCACTCTGATTTCAGGGCCAAAAGTTGTTTCATTCACTGTCCCTATTTTCAGGGTCAGTGTTTGTTTAAGTGGCTGCCTTTTTTACTCTATACAAAAGGCTCATGCAATCTGGTTCCTGAAAATGTTAGACCATTGGATCTTGGAGATGAATGAGAGAAACTTGTCAAAAATCAGACCTTGATCCTGGGAATGAACATTTCTTAACTGCCCAGTTATATCTCTAGTGCTCTAATTTTTAAAGTCTATTTATATCATTTTGAAGTATGGAAATGAGGACAAACTCATACAAGAGAAAAACCCTATTCATGTAAACAATTTGGTAAAGACTTTATACATCACAGTTATATTCAGCTTCAAGAAAAAAAATCATGTTTCATTTATTTTTCATCATACATTTGAAGGAAGTAAATTACTTACCATGTTCACTCAGGGTTAATGGTGGAGATCATGTGATTTCTATCTTGAAACTTTTGAGGTAAATACTAAAGTGTGCTATATGTGACAAAAAAAAGATAGGATGAAAGGTTAGGTTAACGAACCTACTTTTAAAGAGCAACAACTTGTTTGAAATGTTTTACATTGGTATAGATTTTAGTGTATTGATACAAATTTAAAGTTATTTTTTTGTTGTTAATTTTGTTATACTGAATTGCCCTCTACAACGGGTTCTCGACCACCCTAAGGAGGGAATGTAGGGACAGGAGATACAAAGGAAAACACACCAAGTCTCGATTCTGATCAAGGTGCTATTTTATTTCTCTTCCAGAAAGGTTTATATAGTTCTTGCAGGGTGGGGGGAGCAAGAAGCTGTCATCTGCATAAGGTGGGGCAAGCTAACAGGATGTTTGTATAGGATGTTTACAGGGTGAGAGGGTCAAGGGCTCTGACTCAATGTCCTGTTGCTAGGCAACCTGACTGTAAGCTGATCTAGTTCCCTGTCTTATTGGGGGTCTGTATTTTTCCACTAACTAGAGATTCTGTCCTTGTCCCTGACACTGTATGTCTATTTCAACTCTTGTTTAAGGTATTATGCTTGTACAGCTCATTTGAAATTGTAATTGATAATTAAGAATCATAGATTAATAGTTTTTTATGATAGTCAAGCTTATAATCATGTTAAGTTTTCTAGGTATACATAGATATATTTCAGTCAGGTAGGTAATCTTCAAACACTTCAAAGACCTACAGAATGTGGCATTTAAATTGTTTTAAAAACTCAAACATTCTGGACAATGAGACACATCTGCTGCTGGCAGCACTGATTTGCTTCAGAGAGGAGGATGGATGTTGAAGACACTCCATATGGAGTTTATCTTCTTCTTGGCAAAAATAGCCATTTGAGCAAGAAACTTTTTGCTTAGATTGCTTGATTGACTGGACATGCAGGACCCATAGGAAGGTGACCACTGAACTTTGCTTGGCAAAATGGTCCTTCAGGTTCCTGCTTCACAGAGGAAACTGTGAGACATTCTACAGGACACAGAGAAGTGACTGAGAGACTCTAGGCCTGTGGGCTGAAGACAGATGTCCGAACTTTACAAAGGAACTTTGGATGACTGTCCAGGTTGCCAGTTTTCTCTGTCTATTCTCCCAAGTGTCCCAAAAGTTTCTTGTGTCCCTCTCCTGTTTCTCAGGTAATATTATATCCTTCTGGGGTCTTTGATGTAGTTGAAGACTAGATAGTTATAATTTTCCTTAGTTATGATAAGAGATAAGTTAGATATGAAACCTTAGATTCACAAATAAAGGATAGATAGGATATCTTCTTTAATTTTGCCAAAAACAAATAGACTAGATATTATAATAATTGTTTTGTTATGTGTAATTATACTATGTGAAAATTAAAACCTTCCTTAGAGGAAGTGCTGTGGGATGTTCTGTATGCTCTAAATGTGTTGCTCTGATTTCCTATATGAGGCACTCCTTGGACCACCCAAGAAAATCTTGGTAGAAGTTGAAAACACAGCATTGTTAGATATTGATTTTGGAACTTGCCCTTTTTGACCTCTTCAAACTGCACTGTTGGAGGTGTTTCTACAGGTTTGGGTATGCCCCCTCAAAATGTTGGAGAAGTATATGGAGTTGTAAAAGCTTATACCACTAGAGTTGGTATTGGTGCCTTCCCCACAGAGCAAGACAATGAAATTGGAGAATTATTACAAACAAAGGGTAGAGAATTTGGAGTCACTACTGGGAGGAAAAGAAGATGCAGCTGGTTGGACCTTGTGTTACTCAAATATGCTCATACGATCAATGGATTTACTGCATTGGTTCTTACCAAGTTGGATATTTTGGATATGTTTACAGAAATCAAAGTTGACATTGCTTACAAATTAGATGGGTAAATCATACCTCATTTCCCA